TGCCACCGGCTATTCGATTTCGTATTGGCTGACTTGCTAGAGGGTGAAAGCAAGTGCCACACAATCGCTTTCTGAGTCCCGTTAAAGTACGATTGTGACACCGAGCAACCGGYTTACCTAAGCAAGAGCCAATGTTGGAGGTGAATAATGGAGTGAAACATGCCTCAGAAAGTACCATGTCATTTTAATGGGATATAGATGCCAACGTTAACTCACCATTCGAAAAAGGGCTAATAATTTTCTTGACATATAAACTTTAAAAAAATATTATAAAATTAATTCATTATTCCACAATAGCATAAAAACACTGTATAGAATCAATATAAAAAGGAAACATGGACAACCATTTTAAAAATCTCAAAGATTAGATCCTAAAATTTTAAGTATCCTAGTATATCTGTGAAATGATAAAATGTATTTACGATTTCATTTTATTACCTATATCATATTAATTTTTACCAATGAATTTTATGTATAAGTTATTCATCATAAGGTATTATTTTATTTTAGTCATTTTGAAAAATAATATCTCAAATTGCAGGGATTGTCAACTAAAATATGGTTGAGTTATGTATATTTAATTTCTAAATTTCAAACCATTATAATTTAGCCCTAAATTTTAGGAAATAGTTCAACCGATAGAATTACTTTTTATATATAGATATATTAAATCTAGAAAATTTCCATGGATTTTTGTAGAACTTATATCTCCTTATAAACCTAGCTAATTTCATGAAATTATTAAATATGAATTTTCATTTTTATGTCATATTTGTTTGTCATTCCATAAAAAAATWAACTTCAAAACTCAATATTAATTAGAAATCAACTTATAATAGTAAATTTTAATTTACGTTCAACAGTGCGTTGGACATGGAATTACTTTTGTATGACAAAAATATTGCACTTTAAAGCCATTTGAAAACGTTTTAAGAATTTTCATTACTTCTATTTTTCCTTTTTGACGAAAGCATAACTTCGTTAAAYGAAAAAACTCAAGAAACATCAAAGCAAGCATAGTTCATCGGTAATTGACATATACTTCCAATCATCAACTACCACGTGGGCAAAAAAAGAGGTACAATCTCTCACGCTTTTGACAAACTAAAGAGAGAAATCGGAGAGCCAGAGAACCAGTGACATTTCACGAAGTGATTTTCATTATTTGAACTACGGAAGCCAAAAACAATTTTTAATAGTAAACTTGTAAATTTTATTAATCTAACAACAACAAACTAATCCAAATTACATACCAAAAACCATTACAAAAAGGATCAAATGAATGTAGATTAAATTAAAACTTTCCAAATTACTAAGAATCATAAAAAAGTTTATAGCATTTTACATTTAATTCATTTTAACATTTTAAAGCTGAAAASGTTTTAAGAATTTTCGTTATTTAAACTACAAAATTCAAAAATATTTTTCAGATTAAAAAACAMATTTGGTCCTTCTACTTACATTAAAGTAACAATTTAGTCCCTAAGATTTAGTTGTACCAATTTAGTTCTTGTATAAAGTAACGATTTAGTCCTTGAACTTTACACTTTACTCCTTCTAATTTAAAAATTGTAATAATTGAGTCCTTGAAAAATTTTATTAAAATTAGGTGTCAAGTTTTATCATATAACAATTTAATCTATCTAATTTATAAACATATTTAGTCTTTCATTGATTTATTCATCAATATATATAAGAATCTTAACAAAAAAATTTCACCATAAGGATTGAATCATTAATCCTTATAAACTTTAAATTACAATGACTAAATTGTTAGTTCAGGAACTAAATTATTATCAATTTCAAAGTACAGTAACTAGATCGTTACTTTTAAGAAAGTRCATAGACTGAAAATTATTTTTTAACTTATTTTTTTAATAACCAATATAGTTTAACTCAATTCAACCATAATTCACATCTCTCATGAGTTCTATTTGTTCAGTTAAATATTTACTAAAAAACTGGGTCAAATAAATATTATAAATATAAAACTAATAAACAAATTCGCATGCCATAAACACAAAGTAGATTAAATCAAAACTTTCGAAATTACTAAGAATCATAACAAAAAAATAAAAATAAAAAGAAAAAAAGGTTTAATTTACATATCTTGTTGGGGGAAGAAAACAGAAGCCACAAACAACCAACCACGTGTCAGTCAGTCAGTATAATCTTCACTACACAGTTAATAAGTTATTTAAAAAATAAAAAAAWAWWAAAAAAACTACCTCCTTCTTCCCTCTTTTCGTTTCTTCTGCACTCTGTTTCTGAACAATCCGTGAAGAGAGAGAAATCGMCATCGCCATTGCCATCGCCATCGCCATAATCATCAGCTTCAAACGAAACCACCCTTCTTCTGCGAGCAGCGAATTCGAAGAATAACATAAGAAACGAATCTGTAAATCAAAACGAAACCCACCATTACCATCACGTTTCTCCACCGGCTCTCTTCGCCGTACCCTTCTTCCTTGAGCACGTCCTCTCCTCTCACAGCGCATTCCCCAAACATCATCTCCAGGCACTTCCCGGATCTCGAGAATTCGTTTATCAGAAACCCCTCAAACGGGTATTTGAACACCGAAATGTAGTGCATGAAGATCCAGTACTTGGGGATCCCCTGGTTCGCTATGAAGTACCCCGAGAACAGGAAGAACGACCCCATCACCCCAGAAATCACCGAGTTCCCCACTATGAAATTCGGCACCAGCGCGCTGAAACACACCACCACCGAGTTCGCCGTGTACAGAATCAGCCAAATCAGCAGCAAGAAATGGAGGAACGCCAATGGATTTCTGTTCAACCCCACCAGCCAGTACAATGGGACGGAGAATAAAATTGCCAGAATTAGTAGAAATGGAAGGTACACCAATCCGTTGGCTATGGCGTATGAGGAGACTCTGTAGCTTCCGGAGGAYGTTTCCTTCATTAAAATCTCCCTCTCTTGTAAGAAAATCGGGAGGGCTTCAATGGAGGTCGTTAGCAGAAACGTCAAAATGAAAGCGAATAGCCCCACGCGTTCTTCGGCACCCTCCAAATCGAATTTCAGATCGTAGAAAATCGACCCCAGAACCAGCCCGGAGACCAGCATTTGAACTGTTCTGCACGCGAATAGCTCCTTGGTTCTGAGTATGTTCTTGGAGAATCTGTGCATCAGAATCGCGGTTTCTTGCAATCGGGAGTTTGCGAAACCGGGGGGGTGGACGGATTGGAGTCCGATTTTGATGGTCTCTTCGTCGATGACCTTGGATTGCTGGAAGAGCTGCTGGAGGGTGAATTTGGAGGAGGATTTGGGTTCCGATTGGGGGATTGAATGGGGGTGAATCGGGTGCAGATTTTGGGACTGTTGGATGGCGTCGATTGATTCGATGGCGAATTCGACGAGGTCGACGTGAAGGGGAGGGTCGAGACCCATGAGGCTGAGGTTCAGGCCGAGGTGATCGACAGAGCCGTGATGGAGAACAGAGCCATTGGAGAGGAGGAGAATGGAATCAAAGAGGTTGATGATTCTGAAGCCTGGCTGGTGGATGCTGAGGATGATGGTTTTGGTTGTGGCCATGGTGGTTTTGAGCATTTCGATGATCTGGAAAGCGGAGGTACTGTCGAGGCCGGAGGTGGGTTCGTCGAGGAGGAGGAGTTTGGGGTCGTGGATGACCTCGACGCCGATGGAGACGCGGCGGCGCTCTCCGCCGGAGATGCCGCGGAGGCGGTGGTCGCCGAGGGGGGAGTGGGCGACGTGGGAGAGGCCGAGGTCGTGGATGAGGGAGGAGACCTTGGCGGCGAGGGACGGCGGAGGGAGGCGGAGGCGGAGGCGGGCGGTGAAGGTGAGGGTTTCGGCGACGGTGAGGAGAGGGAAGAGGGAGTGGTGGTGGGGGACGTAGGCGGWGGTTTTGGTGAAGTGGGAGGGGCGGAGGGGGCGGCGGTTSACGAGGATGGAGCCGCCGTCGGGGGTGATTTTGCCGGCGAGGATCTCGAGGAGGGAGGACTTTCCGGCGCCGCTGGGGCCGACGATGGCCAGGATTTGGCCGGATTTGGCCCGGCAATTGACGTCGCGGAGGACGTGGCGGTGGTGCTTGTGGTGGGAATGTGAAGCTCTGGTGAAGAAGGTCTTCAATGGCGGTGTGGGGTTTTGAGTTGGGATCTTGTAGCTGATTCCAATGGCTTCGATTTCGCATCCTTGTTCTTCTTCATCATCCTGCTCTTGCTCTTGYTCTTGCTCTTGCTCTGGCTTCTTCATTTCTTTAAGTTTTTTTATTCGTTTTTGCTCCTCTGGTTTGGGTGTTGATTCTCAACCAGCTGAAGCTCTGCACTGTGCTGTCTTGCCTTCTCAACTTCAGTGTTGTGTTTCACAAATTTAATAATGTCTGTCTCTCTGTCTTTCTCTCTATCTCCCTTTGTCTTATATATATATATATATTTTGTTTAAATATGCCTCTCTCTTTCATTTTGGTGCCTTCGGTCGATTTATTTTTAGAGCATTCATTTTGACAATTTATCTTTAATTTTAAGTTTTAAACCTCGTCGGATATCTTTCAAAAAATTTAGTTAATGAAGTGTAATGTTGAAATTATTGATTTCCACCTGTTAGGTCTTATGTAAATCCACAACGTGTGTGGAGTATTAAATATGTTATTAATGATTAAATTTACTCTTAACTCATAAATTTTTAAGCTTTTTGATTCATTAGTAGTTTAATCGTATTCAATATGATAAACTAGTATTTAGTATAATGCAAATGCTCACATGAATACGATAAACTAGTATTTAGTATAATGCAAATGCTCACATCTGATGAAAATGTGTCTTGTCAAAAAACAAGTCACACGTATAGTAACGATAGATTCATTTAAAAGAAATTAGAATGGAATAGAAATTGCGAACTCATTTTTTAAAATAAGATTTTTTTTTAATACACAACATGTGGGGGTGGAAGTCGAACTCACGACAATATATATCAAATGAGAGTATCTATGAGAGTAGGAAGACTAAGACGAATGAGTGAATGTTTAAGAGTAACTAAAATAAATTAAAAGTAGAGAGCAGGACTAAAATTGTAATGAATATTTTCCTCTACCTCTATGGACGTGCCCATTAAACGTTAGGGTTGTTAGAAAAATCACTTTTCTAGGCTTCAGGTGAACTCAAAATATATTCGAAAAAAAAACTTTATTTGATTGATAAATTTGTTTATCTCAAACTATAATTTGCTAATCTTAAACAGTAAATGTCTTAACTTTGTATTTTAATTGTTTATAGGGTTTAAAAATATGTTAACAGGCACCATAATTTTTTAATTTTATGTTTAATAAATTACCGTGTTTAATTCGATTACATTATTTAAGGAGAATCTATCTAAAATTAGTTTGGATATAATCATAAATAATACAAACTTCAATATAATTACACTTTCTTTTCAAAATATATATATTAATTATTTTTGGAATGAAACGCACCCAAATGAGCTAAATTTTGAGTTATTAAATTTTTTTATTATTCTTTTTTTAATGAAGTCCTCCATTTTTTCTAATAAGGCGCATTTATTGATTGAGAAAAGAAAAATAAAATAAAATTCAAAATTAAAGTAAATTGCCTCAAAAGAAATCCACTTTTTTTATTGATCTTAAACTATCAAGCTGTAAGCCTCATTATTTAAAACAATACAACACTAATTTTAAAACATAGCTCTCAAACTTAACGAGAGTTTATATAAATTATAAATTTAGAAACCAAGCACAACTAACTCAAATAAACAAATAAAAAAAATTATATAAATTCATATATCTAAAAAGTCGTATTTTCAAATCAAGGCTCCCAATTCTAAGCTTATGAACTTGAGGTAATTATGTTGTTTTTGTAAAGTCTAATAATCATCGAGCATAGCTTAGTAGTAATTGACATATATCTTCAATCAAGAGGTTGTGAGTTCAATCCCCTACCCCACCTATTGTACTAAAAAAATAATAATAAATAATCATCAATAAGTTGATTGTATTTTTTGCAACACACGTGCCCAACTTTTCTAATATATCGAGTAGTTTTTATTAGAGCATAGTTCGGAGGTATTTTTTGAGCGAAAATACACTAATGAGAAAGCTGTTAGTTGGCATTTGTGATGCAAGGCTCATACACTTTGAACCTTAAGTTAGTATTTAGTTCCAGTTGGTATCGAATTAAATATGAGTTGGAGACACAGATATTAGATACCTATACGAAGAGGTCTAGAGTGGACTTCACCTTTTACAAAGAGAGCATTGGGAAACGTTGTTTTGAGATTACAATGTCTATTCTTATTACTGAGTTGATTTTATGTCGATCGTAAGTAGAACCCAATCCAACAAAAGTGACATTCTTACGACTCTCATCGTCTGTAGGTAAAATCTTCCTTCGAATTAGAGTTGAGTTGAGTTCCACCTCAAGCACGTTTATGGTTAATTTATCCTCATATTCGACGTAACATTTCAAGACTGAGAGAGCCACATATATAGTTTCCGGTTTAATTCCACCCCTAACAATATACTAATACATTGGGTTTGGTCAACGGATTTGGAGGGAATTGAATTACAAAGTTACAAAGGGGCGGTTGAAGAGTGAAGAGAGGCATATGGGCAAAAGACAACCATTCACGTGCCATGGTTGTTGTTAATACTCTCTTAACTCATTTTCCATTTCTAGGTCTTACTGATGCTTCACGTGTCGTCTAACCCCACTATTATTGTTCCCCCAACAGAAAATTACTAACCCACTGTTACACGTGGCATCACGAGATAATAATAATATGTATTATTAGTGTCCATTTTGAAAATAGTTCAACAAAGGTAAGATRTCAAAATTTCGCGAGTTTGATTCCCCACCCTATATGTTGTGTGTGTGTATATATATATATTTATGCATTATTAGTTGACTATGCTCCAATTGGGAACTTATTGTTGAGAACAACTGTACTCGAAATACCTTGAGTATCTCTACAATAGTATGATATCGTCCATCATCGTCTAGTTTCTCTGTGGATAACAAATTCAATCTGAAGCTAGGAATGTACCTGATGTCTCGCAACACCAACTCGGCCCCTTCTCCTGTCTTCAAACAAACATCTCCAATTCCTGTCACCTTGGAGACACTCTCATTCCCCATCGTCACTGAGCCATAATCACCTACAACAAAAGATGAGAACCAACGTCTGTCTGAAGTAACATGCAACACTCCATACTTTTAYGTGTCAAGCAACAATCGGATAACGTATCCATACTTTTAAACATATTAATAAAATAATAATTTAACAACACATCAACTTTCACTTCAAGAATTTTGATCAATGGCAACCAACTTTTTTCCGGTGAAAAATTTTCAAGGGGATAAGTCAAACATTTAGACAGAAAATAGTTTCGTGATCTATAGAATGTCGATAAAACTCTTTTGTGATCGGCATTTTCTATCCTTTTCGACAGATAAGCCTTCCATCGAGAAATAAATAAAGATTGAGAAAATATCAGTAATAACACCATAAATCTAAGCTAGAAGGCTTCCTCTTAGTTTGGTCTTGACAATTTTCCACCATAAAAAAGCCTTCGAACRATATCAAATATACTTGAAAAACCAAAACAAATGATACAAAAACTTTAATAAAAAGATCAAGCGTAAAATACATTAAAATGTGTATTTTTTTTTAGCTTAAATAAAAAAAAATACCTGAAGTAAACTTTTGTGCTAAAATTCATCCAAACTAATCGGTAAAATTGAAAATCCTACAAACTCGTTCAAACACACTCCAAATATCACAAACTTACCCAAAATACTTATAAAAAATGCTTCAACTCACTCCACGTATCCCATAAACTCACCAAACTAACCCTTAAAAAAACATGTATGAAGAACTTAAACTCACTCGATRTCCCACAAATTCGTCCAAACACACTCCAAATATATCTCACAGAAAAGTCAAAATAAAGATGTCYAACTCATTTAAACTCACTTAAAATACATGACACCACCCGAACGTCCTTCACATCCTACGAACTCTCTCAAACTAACCCTTGAAAAGAAATTTGTGCCTAACTCACCCAATTTCACTTAAAATTCTATTCACTTATCCAAATTAACCATTAAAATTTCTAAATCACCCAAATTAACTCTATATTAATTAGTATGGCTACATGCAAGATAGTCCATACAATTTTGAAGTGAAGAATAACAATAATTAACTGTATATAAAACAGAAATTCAATAGCACTTAACTCTAGTGGAACAACTAGTTAACTACGTAGAGGTTAGGTATTACATTAAATTCAAGACTTTAATAAACATTGTTTCGCTAAATAGGTTAAGATATTCTTTATCTTCTCAAAATCATTCCATTATTAAATTTAGAAAAAAAGAAATTAAAAACAGCAATAATGTTACATTCTTATTGTGCTATATTTTCATTTTAAATTTGAGAAATTTTATCAGATAATCTTTTTGCTAAAACGTTTATAAATATGTATTTTAATAAAAGTAATTGTAAATATAATATGTTTTTTGAAAATTAAATATAATATACCTTTTAAAAAATTAAGAGATTTAAAAAAAAGTATTAATCCCTAAATTTAATATCACAACACAAATTCGAGATGATGATTCAGGCATAAAACAACACTGTCGGGTGGAGGACACAAAATGGATGATTATCCAATGGTTTGAGACGGTTGAACCAGAACAGCAAACAACCGATTGCTTGATCGGTTCCAAATGTTTGTTCCACCTTAGAAACGACCAGCTACACTTGGCCAAATACTAGGTGCGGAGGTACAAACTCAGCACGACCAGCACGAACCATCTCCGACAAGAATAGCAGAAACTCGACATGCTCAACTACATATCGGATGCACTGTCGGATACCCCAATCAATAAATAATGGCCCCGACTATGCAGTCACGTATTTGATTATGTCTCGATCTTAATATCAAGGTCGGCCTCCTAACTAACTTGAACATCGGAGTGTTTGATCTCTTGTGCAAGTCTCTCCTTACCAAGTAACTTTTCTACTTGCTCTGATTCATCCAAGCTTGCTCAAGTGGTTCACCTCAACTTGATCAGCCGAGACCATTCACTTTGTTGAATATTTTAACTACTATATTTGGAAGTTACCAAAAATATAATATTTAGATCATCTCGACCCATGTATATATTATAATTAGTTTTTAAGTTACTATTTTTATATTATTTAATATTTATTAGTACCATATCTGCAGTCCAAATATTTATTAAGTTTTTATCTTTTTTCAGTTTTCCACAGCCTTGGGCCCAAAGGTTTGGATTACATGCAAAACTAGGGGACCACAAATTTTCTTAATTTCAAGATTGTTATTCTATGTTCTCACAAATCATTGGATTTACGATCTTTATTTTTGTGGTGGAGAATTCATGCCTATTC